CTTAACCAGAGGTCTTGGTTTCAAGCCCTGAGAATGCAGTTTTGTTAAAACTCGTGAGGGAGAGCTTTGTCGTTCATTGGGTCCTGCCCGACTCAAATCCGAATTAGTTGGTGACCTAGTGGGTTTTCGGATACCGAGTGGTCATACTAAAAACCCACGAGTGGATGGATGAGTTGGTAAGGGACTCTTCCAGCTTAATCAGAGATCTTGGTTTCAAGCTCTAGGAATGCAACTCCGTTAAAAACTCGTGAGGGAGAATTTTGTTGCCCGTTAGGTCCTGTCCGGTTCAAATCCGAATTAATCGGTAGCTCAGCGGGCTTTTGGATACCGGGTGATTATACCAAAAAAAAAATCAGCTAGTGACAAATTTAATGCAGTAAATGAGTATTATTCTATAAACATTTTGCATCCTACTTCTTTTATTCATTTTTAACATATTATATTTCCATATATATTTCAGGCGACATTCCCTTGTCTAGAAGAACTGGAATTGAACAATAATGATATTATGAAGGAGATATGGCATGGACAATATCCAGGGGATTATTTTCCCAAACTAAAAGTTCTTAAACTCATCCAATTACCTGAGCAATCAGTTGTCCACCCTTTCCTCTTTCAGTCACCAAATCTTGAAAGGCTTGTTGTGAATGAAGCTTGGTTTCTTGAACTATTCCAGTGTCAAGGACTTGGTGAGAAGGCAAAACCTGCACTTGCACTTACTGAGTCAAGTGAATTAAGGTTATCTGAACTTTTGGAATCAGTTTTCTATAACCTGAAAACCCTGGAAGTGTTACAGTGTAGCAACTTAAAGAATTTGGTGCCATCTTTTGTATCTTTCAAGAATTTGACAACTTTGGAAGTATCTGCATGTCATGAACTCATAAATTTAATTGAATACTCAACAGCGAAAAGCATGGTGCAGCTCACAAAAATGAGTATAAGTAAATGTCAAATGCTAAAAGAAATTGTGGCGTGTGTGGGTGAAGAAGTTAAGGATGGCATTGCTTTCATCCAACTCAAGTATTTGCTACTTCGTGGTCTACCAAGACTAGCAAGCTTTTGCTCAGGGAATTGTGGCTTTGAACTTGCATCTTTGGAAGAAGTAATTGTGATGGGTTGCCCAAATATGCAGATCTTCTCTCGAGGGGAATGCAGCACCACTAATAAACTGCAAAAAGTGAAATTGACTGTGGATGAAGATGAAGGGTTGTGGGAAGGCAACCTTAACTCCACCATAAAAAGGATGTTCACAGAAAAGGTATGCATTAATTCAAAGTATTTCCTTATGTTTTTTACCTTAATTTCCAAGTTTTATGTACTACTCCTAGCCGTTTGTTGGTAAAATGTAAGTTTTGCCAATAATAAGCATACAAAGTAGCACCAATACCACCAATAATAAGGGCTGCAACCAAATCAAAGTTTTGCACAAAAGAATAAACTTAAAGAGAAAACAAATTGTCACACTTTGTTAGTTAAATTTGTTACACGGGTTTTTTGCTTTACCCTGGCATATATCCATGTCTGATCCTTATACTCACATTTGAAATTTCTGTTGACTTGACATAACACTTGTATGTATAGCCATTCAAAGGAATAGATTATTTGTCTTGGGATCGTAATATAATTTTAAGGATCTATAGTACTCGTGTTTGGAACCTGATATAGATAAAGAACCATTAACTAGAAACCTATTCAAAGCAAATAACCAAGGTTTTGTGGGAGGAAGAGACTGATTTCTTTGTATAAGAAAGAAAATAAAAATGAAACCATTCAAAAACTTAAATTTCCAATTAAAATTTTAGAATAGGTTATTTGTTGTGGGATCGTAACATAATTTTAAGGAAATTTCTAAGAAGATGTTGTAAATTACTAATAATCACAAACTGTAATTTGAAAATTGTAAGGAATATTTTGTCTTTGTCCAAATCTTTGTTTGGCCTTCATCTTTGTCCAATCTAATTTTTATCAAATGCAAAAAGTTATTTTTTTTCTTACTTTTATTATTAATATAATTGCCATCGTTTGTATCTTGTCGTTTAACCAGCAATTAATCTATTGCATCTTGTAGGCTGGATGTTATGGGTTGGAGGATTTGAAACTTTCCGAATTTCCTGAGTTGATTGAACTTTGGTACAAGAAGCCTCAAGAAAACTTGCCTTTCAAAAGGCTTCAATTTCTAGAAGTTTGTAATTGTAGCAATTTGACATACCTTCTAACCCCTTCCATGGCATTGGGCCTTGTACAATTGGATGTTCTAAAAGTCACAAACTGTGCCATGATGGAGCAAGTGATAACAGGAGAAGGAGATGAGGAGACGTTTCCTCTACTAAACTCTATTCTTTTGGAGTCTTGTTCCATCTTGACATGTTTCTATGTGGGAAGCACTAGGCTGAAATTTTCAAGTTTGAAACAAATTACTGTATCTTACTGCCCAAATCTGTTGACATTTGCTTCTTCATTTTCAAGAGAGC